ATGCCATCCACAGGGGCCTGTGTTCTTTTTCTGCTATTTCAATACACTGCACCAATGAAAACTGATTGTCCTCAAACCTCCTTTGTTTATGGAACCCATTTTAGAGTTTCCAGCACCCCCTTATTTTTTACCTATGTATGTAGTCTTGCCTTTACTATCTACATCACCAGCCTGTAAACTATATACTGAAGTCACTGTTATAGGACAGTACTTGTTGATATCAGCTTTGACCTCGTTTCTTCTATAGAACATGGCCATACTGGTTAGTTTCCACCCAGGGGGGTTTTACCATTCATTGTTGCTTTGATCGCTGCCTCTCTTAATGTTTGCTTGGAGCTTAGTTCTAGTTTCTTCATTAGTATAATTGGAATGCCGTCACGGCCTGTTGATGTGTTGTTAGAAGCCTTCTTTTTTGCTCTTTCTGACTCCCGTTTTCCCAGTGAAGTCACTGCGCTAATTGGTACGTCCTCGTCCGGTAGGGTGCATAAAACGCTTTTTTGGTGTTGAGGCTTTAACGCGATAGCGTTAGGGAGCTGGTGTCACAGAAATCCCGTCGTCGGCGTCGGCCCCGTTGGTTGTGAGCGAAAAATTGTCATTGCGTCTATCAAATGAAAAAGCAAGTTACCGAGATCACTGTGGGAGGCCTCTACTCGTCCACGCGTGCGCACGCAATCACGCTGAAAAACCGCGCATTTGAAGAATAAAAAGTGCTTAGGGTAACGAGGCGTGGTAGTTTCTTTGCCCCAACGACCCCTCCCTGCTTATCTTCAAGCGCTTTTGTCCAGCATGCAATGAACCTTTCACTCCGCTCGCACTGGACGGATTCTTAAAATTTTTGCGGAGTTTAATTCGTGAAGCAATAAGCGCTTCTAGTGAATTCATTTCATGGTTACTTCAAATGTGTTTCAGGGATTTTTTAACGCGTTTCGTTCGACTGGTGTCACGACGAAAACGAGCCCATTCGGCGATTTAGAGGCACATTTGGGAAGTCTCAAAATTCGTCGAAAAAGGCCGGGGTAGTGCAGCAATCGCCGCTAAAAAGACACGGGAACTTTCAAACAGCTCTAAAATTGGACAACTATCTTTATCTAGCGGAAAACATATCATGCCTTTCCGGAGTCGTTGATCAAAAAAGAGGAAACGCTAAATAATTTGCTGCTATTTGTGAGCTATTGTGACATTCTTTATGACCTCCGAGATGGCAAGCTCGCGGTGTGTATCTTGGAGGTCATGCGACTCTTGCTTAAGACCAAAACTTATATATAACATTCGCGCGCGTGCACTGGTACGCTCTACTGTGTGCGTGTGTGTGTGCGTGCGTGCGTGTGTCTGTACGTAACAAAACATTATATTAAGTATGCACTCAGCGGTTGAAGGGTGCACTAGGGGCCGGGTTTCACTATCGCGTTCAACTCCTAAAGGCAAAACTTAAGGGTCCCCCAATTTTTTTCTGTCATCATTGTTCCTGTATAATCTATTGCCTCATCCCCTTCTAGTCTGACACCTTTAACTGTAGTTAAAAACCACTGTTTCATGCTTGTCCTAATTCTAAGAGACTTGAGATCATTCCAAAACACTACAGCTGTCTTTCTATCCTTTTTGTTTATTTTGCGCCATCCATTGGCTCCTCTTCCTTCTAGTATTTTCACTGATCAGATAGAACGCTTATCTTCTGCAGCTCAAAAAGTTATCCCATTTTTATTTAACATCATCTTCCGGTGCACCACTCAGTTAGCATACCTGTTCTCCCTGAGGGCTTCCTAGCGTTTTACTGTGGCTCTCAATTCCCTCATCCCACCAGCCCGTTTGATTTGACTCGTACCTTAGCAAGCTCTAACTCATGCAATCTAGTTAGGTTTGTGTGCGTCAACTCTGCTTTAGTATCCTCGGTGAATATTTTCTCAATCTCTTTAATTGCTATTTCTGATTGCTTTCCTGTGTAAGCATTACCATCTGGTTGCACATAATGCCTCCTTCCCATTTTCATTTCTCTTCTAAAACTCAGCTTGATACGTTTGTTGTCACTACTGAAGCTTCTCGACTTATATTAATCTATGTTGATCACCCTTAGCCTATCATACATCCTATGCGACTTTACTGGATAACATCCCTTTGCTTCCTCCTCCTCCTATGCGACATCCTTGTGTCATCTATCGTCTACTGCAGCCTTCCCACCTCCCGTGTTACTGTTGCAAATGATTGAATCATGCCTTTCACACATATTCTTTAGCATTCTACCCGTTGGGTCAGTACACCCATCCATATCTTTACGTGCGCATTCATATTTCCTAATATAATTACCTCGCACTCTTCTCCTAGTTCATCATTGTCATTGTCTATGAAATGCACCATTGTCTGGATTTTCCTCTCTGCCTTTTGTTTTTGTCCACGAGTATACAAAACCCAGGAACGTCGTCTGCGCTGCCACTTTCTCCTTTAGCCATAAATGTTCCCTGGACTCCTGCTTGACCCTTTGCCAGTCCGTACTTTTATGAATAAATGCCCCGTTACCACCTCCCTTCTGTTGCATTCTGTTCTATTACAATACTCCCACGCGTAGTCCAGCTTGCTAAGTGGTTGTTCCATGCCCCTAAGATGTGTTTCTACCAACCCATATACCATCAGCTTCTATTCCCTTAGCTGTTATTCTATCTCTCGCCACTTCAGCCTATGCCTGCCAACCTGCATGTTATTACATCCTACGTCTGAATTTGCTCTGGCCTCGTGCCTATGTTGACTTCTCCCCCAGACTCTACATGGCTTAGATATTAGCGCTACTTTCTGAATATATGGCTTAGATTTTAGTACTACTTTCTAAATACCACCTTCTAAAGAGTCCTCCTGGTTGTTTCTCTCGGTAATAGCTATCCTGGGCCCACAAGGGCTTGCGTAGCCCCCCCCCCCCTCCCCGAAAAAGGTACTGCGTGTCCTGCAAGTCGCCAACCCACCTCATGATCTAGCCTCCCATCAAAGTGAACTCTGTCTCAGTTGAAAAATAGCTTACTTATGCACATCTCTGTTTATTTCCAATACCTCAAAGCCTTCCTCTCAACTCATCTGCCAGAGTACGCCAACACTGTTTGGTTCCCTTGATATGCCACTCATATCGCAAGGTTTAGAACGGGTACAAAGGAAAGCTGTAAGGTTTATTTACAACAAGTATAAACGCACCGACTCGCCCACTAACCTTTTAGAATCTTGTGGTCTTGCTACGCTAGCGACAATAGCAAAACTGGCACGAATAAAATTTCTACACAACCTGCTTCGTAACCGCAGCCACATCGATGCACCAAAATACATCTTCCTAGAAGAATTCAGAGACCTAAGACACAAACATGCGCTCACTATTGCAGAATACACTTTGCATAACGATTGCTTCAGGCATTCATTCTTTCCCCTCTCAATAAGAGAATGAAATAGTCTAGATTCCTCGATTACCGTTATATAATCATTGTCAAAGTTCACTTCAAAAATCAAGGATAAGTTCCGCAAATAATTTTCTAGTTATATTTTTGTCTTTTGGTGAGGCACAATATCGTTTTTTTAGCGGTTATTTTTGTGGAATAAGTGGTCGCGTTCAGTTGCACGTAAACAAATTCGTTTTGCTGGGTGCAGTAACTGGTTCAAAGTTACCTAAGTGTGTATTGTTCTGGTGTATTTTTTCCAGTGCTCTTGTCTTTGTGTACAACTAGTGTTGTATTGTCTTTTTACTAGCGTTTTTCTGTGGAATAAATGTTCGCGCCCAATTGTGCGTAAATAAATATGTTTTTCTAGGTGCAGTAACTGGTTCAAAGTTACCTAAGTGTGTATTTTTCTGGTGTATTGTTTCCAGTGCTATTGTGTTTGTGTACAACTAGTGTTGTATTGTCTAATAGATAAGAGCTGTCTTCTATGCCGTCTTTAGGTATGCACCAATTGCTCAGTGTTTGTATATAATTAACACTATTTTTTCAGAATGTACTTGTTGAATTTTGCCTCGAGACCCCTACAGGCATTTCTGCCTCTAGCCATTCTTAGACGTTCTGACAAATATGCCACTGTTTAAACGTGAAACTGAAAACTGTATTGTGTATCCAAGAACTGATGCCCTTCTGCATCGATCTCGTATGAGTCTGGCAGTATCGAAAATAAATGAATAAGTAAATAAATAAATATCCCCTTGTTTGCTTCGACAACAGCTCTTCGCAGGTTTATGTCACGTGACAGTGGGGGATGGTCTCAAGCGGGTGAACATGTAAAAAGAGTGCGTCCCGCGAGTTCCGCTCCACTATTCTGATTTCGGCGGTGCAACATTTCCTGCTCCTCGGAGGCACTTCGGCTCTGAATCGACTCTGCCGCTCTCAATGGAACAATTGACTCTCACTCTCACTCTGCCATTTGAACAGATTGGCTTCAAAAGTCTTGCTCCCACTTTGCCGTTGGAATTCGACAGTTTAGTATAAGATTACGACATGGTGCTATTGCATTCAGCGCTTCATCCTTTAGGGGTAACAGAATTTTTGTTTTCAAAATTCAGGGGACAATTTTCTCTCTTCACTGACTCTTGAATCTCGAATGCACCGAATTTGGCACGCGCAGCGCCATTGCCTATTCGAGAAAACCCGCGCTTCTACCGGTGGGTTTGGGCAACGCCTCCTAAAAAACTATGCCTGGAACGCGGCTCTCTTCAATTGAGACCTTGCTGCCGGCACAAAATCTTGGAGGTCATGCCTCCTACCGGTCGTTGCGAGCGTCCGCCGCGTGGGACCGCTCGACTCCGTACCGCTTTGTCACGTGACATTAATGTAGCGCTCTGTTGCGTGATATCACAGCTGCTCGGAAGCAACAGTGAGAACACTGATATGTTCACAAGGACGACCGTTAGAAGCGTTCGCCTGCGTACCGGAGGGGGAGGGTAAAATCCGAGGGTAGGGAGGCGCGTTTGGTGCTCACGTTCTAGGCATAATTTTTTTAGGAAGCGTTGGTTTGGGACAGTATCACTGGTCTTAGTAATTACTTACCGAACGTATTTGGCAATTGCTGCTTTACTGCAGGTGGAAAAGTGATCCTTGTGCTTTCCGTGAGATGTTGGACTCATAATATAGCCTAGTTCCGCAGGGCAGCTCACTGAGGTGTTGTCGCCGTCGTGATAGGAGCCGAACCTGCCATCAAGATTGGCACGTGGAAAAAACAAACAAGTCTAGTTTTAGTGAGGAACACGTGGTCTCTCTGTAAACTACTTGCTATTAGGGTAAAATATATATAGCTGAGGCCGTGGATGGACAGCCACTATTTGTGGACATTTGCTCTCGAATTTGAGACAGAGTTTTACCAGTCGTGAGCTCCTCGTTCTTGAAAATTACAATTTGAAGCCCATTTACACGAAATATTATGATCGACTGAATAATATGATCCGAGCTTTTTCCTTCTTAATATGCACTAACTGTTATTCTTCGCTACAATGTAGTCTCCTGCACACATAATTGTTTGTAATGTAATTTTGGCATATCGAGGGTTTGTTTTTAGCCTGCCTGTCTCTTTGTTTGCGTGAGGTCCTTGTTTTTGCCTGATAAAATGAAAAGAACTCCAGACAGCTTCACAGCCGTACAAACTGAGAAGCAGATGTGCTGTTGCGTCAGGGTACTGAAGTTATCTGTTCAGCAAATCCACCCTCAGCATTACATCTGAATGTAATCTAAGTATTCTACGTATGGTGCTATATCATCCTCATTTTTTTCATACTCTTTGTTAACCTATGCAGTTGCTATATACGTTAGCTATGTTGTGGCTGTATCTCCATCGGAGGAGAGGGACCTCGGAGGGGTGGCCGATGGCTTAGGCAGAAGCTCTCTGCTTTGAATGACGCGCGCACTTTTTGGTTGAATACCAGTGCATGATTCGTACCTTTGCACGTGCTGTCTCTTCACCGAGAAGTTTGGAATGAAGCTATAGACTCCACAATTCATAGTTCGCTCGGCGGAGCTTCCACATTTGCTCAGGCTGGTAAATGATTGAGTTAGGCCGAGTACTATTAAATTCTAAGGAAGCACAACTCTCCCACCCCCTATTCTCCTAAGGTGAAGGATAATCCGACAATATTGGGGGGGGGGGGGGCGCTTGGTCGCTCCCGCACCAATATTGAAGGTAGTTGTGGGAAAGCCACAGAAATATAAAAATACTCCTTATATGTTTCTGATGAAATGCTTATTACTGCTTTTGCTTTCTCTCGTCAATGTCGACGTCATTAAGAAACTCATTAAAGTCGGACGCGAATATGAAGATTGCGCACGTGACCTGCAGAAACCTGCGGTATTCTGGTAGTACACCAACCACGCCGGATAGCGTAGCATGCATTGTATCATCCTCCGAACCATCTGGTGCATTGATATAGCAGACCCGGTTAATTATTGAGTCACCGGTTCAACAGAAACGACCGCCAAGCCTACACTGCAAATCATTTCACACCCTTAAGGGTGGATGTTTCAATAAATCACCCATCTCACACCTATTATTTCTGCCAAACTTATCTGCACGGGTGTAAGTTCTGCAATTCCACCTTTTGTACAACTCATTTGTCATTTTTAGGTGTACTATAGGTATATGTTAGCAAATTACACCCAAGGGTGTTTCCCTGAACGTTACACCTATCATATATGTATATAGTTTAGAGCATCAATACATATCACATCTCAACGGATGCAATCAGACCACACGCCAAAAGTCTGGTGAAATGATCGATGTTGCGGCATTCGTTTTGATTTCCCATAATTCATTCGCCAAAATATATCGTGCTATGTATTATATTTATTAAACCACCCCTATTTACTATATTCAGAAGATTCCTCACATGTTCAATGACTTAATTCATGGGTTAACTTTTTTGGATTCCTACTAAAAATATTTTGCTGCCGCTTATGTCCATTCTTCCCTAATTCTCAGAAAGACATCAGTAAGAGAGATGATGTTGCACTTAAACATAACATGAAACGATTACACACGGTTTTCGACAGGCTATCGTGCGCGCTTTCTCATTTGAAATCACACTAAGTTTTTTGTACCAGAGGTCCTGATTTATTAAAGACGATAGTCTTTTTTGGGGACCTTCAACGCAAAAATTTTGGTCTGTCTGTCTGTCTGTCTGTACATTTGTCTGTTTGTCCACTCTATACGGCATCTGGTACTTGAAATGGCCAACCTCATCCGCAGCGCCCACCAGTGTTGCTCAAGATTGAGCGTTCATGCTTGCGCAATCGTCAATTAAAAAGCCATCATTGCGCATGTCTGTGGCACCATAACAACACGTATATATTCTGCATGTGCGTCTTTCACGAGAAAAGCATACATTAGTAATAATAAGGGCCGTAGCGCTTATCACGCTGCGCTGACCATGCAATGCTTGCACGGAACAGGGAGTGTTTCCAACGCTTTGCTAAGGTGGTGGAATCTACCCGTCGCCTTGCGTTCTGCACTTCATCACCTCTGAGATGGGCACGCACACCCCTCTCAAAGCCACACGCTTTGTTTTGTAGGAAGACTTCCAGATGGCACTCATGTCCTACGTGCGACATGATTTGATGTTCTTTTTTCACCTTCGCTGTACGCTCGAGGCACTCAAACGCAGTGCCTACAAAATACCACTCACCGACTTTCTCGCGCAGAACACCAAATAAATGTCCTGTTCACTCTCTCCACACGCAAGACTACCGTCTTTTGACAACATTTGCAGAAACATGGAGATACGGGGCCAATTTTTTACAATGGGGGTCCATATATTTCCTCACACTTAACTATTTCGCATCAATACACAGGTCCCTGATTTATTCAGTGAGTTATATTTAGATCTATGAACATGGATCAGTTTAAATTGAATGTTTCTAGTATTCACATTGCCACGGAACTAGGCATGTTTACAATTAACAGGCTAAGCTTACTCTGATGCAGCTGCTATGCACGCATGCAGCGCCGCAGGACAAGCTTGGCGCACATACGCTAAGCACGGGTGAACTCTTCCAATGGGTCGTACCACTCTGTGGGCACTTAATGCTCTTTTTATATTTACTTAATATGCACGCTTGCGCGTCGTATAATATACACGTGAATGATCGTAGACAACACTAGCGTAATGTACCCGTGCCACAAAGATGGAGAGTAGTTGACTAATTGCAGCATTGTGATTGACAGTTGTTACTGTCACGTTACAATGCACTGATAATCGCACATTAGTATGCTCACACAAAATTTAAGACTTGAAATAAAAGCAAGCGTCCTTCATACTCTGTCGGTAAAAAGAGCATAGCCCCCGGTTCTTGCTGTGTGGCAGAGTGTTATTTAAAAGAAGCTAATAGCACAGCAGAAGTGTTGCTAGGATTTATGCGTGCAAGGGAACAGAAAGAGGAAAAAAGGGGGCCTGACGCAATTTGTATGTACATTTTTGCCTGTAGTTGCATACATGCGGATCCGAATCGCAAGCTTTCTTTCTTTTTTTGCGAAATGGGCCAAATCCTGACCCGAAAGTAGCTCAAATGACACTAAATTGGCTCATAGATACGTTCACGTTTCCTCTAAAACAGTAATATTAAAACATTATTTATAAATATGACTGTTCTAGAAGAACGTTGATAATATGTATATGTCAAGGCAGCGTTAGTTGAGCTTTTTTCGGTTCTAGATTAACCCCATTTTGAATTTAAAAAATCTCCTCAAACGAACATAAAAAAGGGTGGGAGATGTGTCAAGTATAGAACAACCTTCTTGCCACCCTTCCCTATCTTTTTATTTATATCTATGTTCCGCAAGTAACAAGTTTTGACTCCGAAATGTCGAAACAACGCCGCAATAACGCCTCACCCGGGAAAAAAAAATGTACATTACGAAGGCTACGCATTTGCCGCCTGCACACGTCAGTTGCAAAAAAAAAAAAAAAGACTTTGAAGCGCTGCTAGCAAATAAATATGTTGTCAAGCATGAAATATTACACTATACCTTGGAGGCTTGACATAGCTTGGAAATTATATCCTAAAATGGTACTGCTATGTGTTTCGGTTTCGGTTTTGAGGTCTCGGGGCCACTGCGCATCGCCATCGTCAACAGTCAGACTTTAAATTGGGTGGTAACATGTCGTGTGCGTGTTTGCTGCAGGCTGACGGTGGTTTATTATTCTACTATTCACTTGCTTTGTCAGGGACGCGTACTTATACGGCTTGCACAGTTTAACTCACGCTTACAGTAGATACAGTACGTGTCACTGCAATCTGTGGCGTGTCGGCAAGTACAGAACTACTTCGGTGCGGCGGAGTGTGTGTCCTCTGTCAACGGCTTTCGTTGAAGCTTGTGCACGCCACAAGCAGAGTGTTTCCGATCAAGCAATCAACGAACTGTACGCTGGGAGCTACATGGAGAACGCTTTTTGATTTCATGCTATTGCTGAAAAGGTAAGCTTTCGTGCATGCGAACAACGAAGTGCAGAAGTGCGTGCCTGCCTGCCAACTCCCGATCTGCCCGCGATACTCGTAATTGCAGGAAGCGGCCGTCTCATGGCGCCGGTAGCTTCGTGACCTTCGCTCGCTGTGTGCTTATCAGCTGCGATGTCTCAACAGTCGCAGTGTTCGTGAACCTCGCTTTGGGGCATGGTTAAAGAAAACGGGGGGATGTGCCCCGCGCAGATAACCTTACGGCATTCGGCAGCCGGTGAGAAAACAAGGGGGGGGGGGGGGGGGGGGGCTGAGCGAGCCGAGGTGGGCGAAAGAAATGGCATAATAATGATAATAATAACGAAGCAGATCAACGGTAAAAGAGGCGCCAGTTGTCAGTTAGCGGGACTGCAGTGGACAAATGGGGCGCATTTATTACGCGGGAGAAAAAAAAAATTCAGATTTCAATGACTGAAGATAGGGGTGCGTTTTTAATGCGAGTAAATACGCTATTTAAAGCAACAATTGAAAAATACTTAAACTTTGTATCAGTACCCTTTGATGCCTGCGCTTTGCAGCGGCGTGACGTGTTTTGTTAAAAATCGTGCAGCTAACCAAAGAATTTATATGTACCTTGTTTAATCAGTGATTCGCGCTTTTTATGCCTTGCTAGGTTTGTTTATATTTATACTAGTATATCGTTAATAATTAGGATATAGAAATATTGATCTGCTTTAATAAGGGATTGAACA